TAGTCCAAAAGAAGTATTTGCAATGTTATTTTCTGATTTTAAACTGGATTTTCTTCTGTATCATGCCATGTGTTGAAATATAACGTCCCAATACGAAATCAGTGGAAAATCCTTTTTTCACAGTAGACAATTATTTCTCATTGAACTATCTTATATCTAATTCACGGGTTGGTGTCTGACTTTTTCACACCTTTTCCCTATAGTTTGTCAAAATATTCTAAAAATATCATCATGGGTTCATGAGATTATTCTCATACATGCTTTCAATCGTTGGAAAAATCTTCGATGGTGTAATACAATACAAAATAATACAAGCGCAGAAGAGCACGGTGCCGATTTGAGCCGTGTCCATATTTTGTTAAATTAATAGTGGTTTACAGCAACTGGATATAACATTTTACAATATTTATGTAGAAATATGTGCATGATTTAGAAAGTCATTGAGCTGGAAAACTGCAATATACTGCAGACTTTTCAGAGAGGTTACTTCGATGTATTCATTCAGCTTAGGGAAAACATAATAATGTATAGATATGTATATAAATAAGAACTTGAACTCTTAGAGAGCCTTTGAATGTTATTAGACTAACGAGAAGGGTTGTGCATGTTTACTAGCGCTACTCGGCAACAAAAACCATTTAATTTATCTCTAAACTATATATTCTTAAAGTGCACTGAGCAGCCTAAAAATCTATGTAACTTACCCATATAATATGGCTACAAAATGCTCAAACTCGCATTGTGACATTTATAACTCGGCTTATATTTCTCCAACAGAAAATTTATCCGCAGTAGAATTTTATTGTGCTCTTACCGTTTCTAATAACATCCAAACACAGAAACCTTGCCTAAAATGGTACCTATGTTGACAAATTATTTACTGCGGCCTATATTACGGACCGTGGCCCACTGGTTTGGTAACATTATTGAAAATAACACGACATTTTGGCTGTAAAAATGGCACAATGAGTAAATACTATTTAATCAGCTACTGTCACGACGGAAAGTCGTATTTATTTCAAACTAGATCATATCATACTTTATAAGATACGTTGATTCACAATGTATGCATCAATATTTACGTAACAGACAATTTACATTATTTTTTGCTTTTTGGAAATGCTTCATTACTATGTAATTCGCATTATTTTTTGCCAATGAAGCTGCACGTCATATAATTTAGGAGGCCAATAACAGTTCAAGAATAAAAGCCAACATTATTTCAAGTTTATTCCACTGCACCTAACATTCCGTAGAAAGATTATATTGACAACTTTATGTAATTGATAAGGCTGAGACAACTAACTGACATCCCCCATTTCTAGGAATTCCAGCTTGAACAGTAACCCAAAAACCAATTTCTCAAAACTTCAAAATTTTAAAAACGCAATTAATATTATTATTGTTTTTACGTTTATTAATCTTTAAACAATGCTAAATGCTCGAAATATGTATAATTTCACTCAATTTATCGCAGTAAGATGAATTAGCGTAAGCCTTGAAGTAACCGTCGATTTCGACGGGTTTCACCTAGTATATATATAAACTGTTGACTATACTGACACAGTATAGATGTTGTTTGTATGTAGGTAGCCCACAGTATGTAAGCTTTTAGGTCAGCATAGTTTGTCACTGATGTTTACAACTTACGCAGCGTCTTAAATGGGCACTTTGGTTAACTGACTCTGCTTTACTGCTCTTAAATTATTGGATGCCTGCAAAAAGAAACATTGTCCACTTCATTTTAATATATGAGTGCTATTTTAAATTGAAATTAAAATTAACATTGTAACCTTCCAAGTAGGTTAAGGTATAATCCTTGTCAATATATGTGTTTGCTATAACTTACTAAGCTTTGGTCAAATCAATAGGAACATTGAAGGCCAGGGGGCAAAGCTCTTTTGTAAAATTTTCATAACAAATCACTTACATCCTATTCTTATGTTTAACAAATACGCACAGAACTTCATAAGAATTAGTCAAACCGTTTCGAAGGAGTTTTTCAACAAACAAAGAGAATATGAGAATTTTACCTACTTGATTATATGAAATACGCCTATGTAAGTCATGACCCACAAAAAGGTAGGCACAGATGAAAAAACATGAAAACGAGCCCTTTCACAACAGCAAAATAAACCCCTTGAATAAAATAACGAGTTAAAGTGGGCTATTAAAATTTACCGACAAAGCACAAAGGCGGTTTTTTAGCGAGCGGCAGAACAAGAGTCTCAAGTGGCCATGGGGGAGGAACACGGGGGGGGGGCTGTTTTGGAGGGGGGGGGGTTGTTTTGGAGGGAGGATTTAGGGTCAAGTGGATCTGTTTGGCCGAGTGAGTCCAACTGTAAAATAATTATATGAGATTATTATAGTATAGGTTAGGTGTTCATTAAAAGAGTAATTTGTTATGCTCTTCTTTCAGGACAAATCATATTTTGTCAAATGTTGACCGACCGTTGTCGTTATAAGTTTATTTGTAAATAAAAAATAATTTGCGTTGAGATTGGAATAAGTGAGATTACTTAAGTACCTCACCTAGTGAGTTACATTCGCTTGTTCTTTATTTAGGATATTTTTAGAGCATGTCTTTTTTACCTTAAGAAACAGTTGGATTTATTTAACTACAGACCTTAAATTGATGTTTGGGAAATGTTGTATTAAATATTTAATATATTTTCATACTGCTTTCATTTTGCTCCCTAACTATTCTTTATTCTTTCAGTACATTAGTTTACAACAAAATGAGTTTTTTTAATGTGTCCAGTAGGCTAAATAGAAGAAAACAAACACCCTCTACCGTAACAGAATACTTAGGAAATTTACTACAAGTAATTTCCCTCAGTTATTGATTGATGGGGAAAAACACTAACACACTACTGCATTAGGTGTAGTACAAATATGAATACAACATTACATATTAAGTTTCGTCCGTTCTCTTACAAAAACTTCATTAGTTCTAGCTTTTGGACTCTTAAACACTAAAACACACACTAAATCACAAAAATTACTATTTCAACGGCAGATATATCTGGTAATGGTTGTCGGTCATTGTATTTGCTCACCCCTATCATAATGGGGGAGGGGAGGTTGGTGATCGTCCACGCCTAACATAGTAACTTCCCTAGGGACACCAGATGCTTAACATTAGCTATTGACTAAAGATCACCCCCCGCAAATCCTCCCCCATGGGCTATGGCCATAAATACTTTACGGTTTGTAGCCTATAAACACCCAAGTGGCCTACTGTAGTTGTGTTTCGTTTCCAGAATTGTAGAACTTTAGTATTGATTATTGAGTACGAAAAAGTATTTCCGTTGAAACATATTTTCAATTTACATTAATTAATTTTACGTTATTTGTTACTTATATCATTTTGAATAGTGACAGAAGTGAAGATTTCATTCCCACGTCGGAGCTGTAATCAGTTTTTCAGTGAATGGAAAAGTAACGTTTTTGAGTTGATCCCATGACAGAGTGCGCAAAAGTAAATTAACTACTGTCTTCTGACACATATTCCTACTTTTTAACAAAATCTAGCAGAATTTTCATTGCGTTAACTTTCTTTATTCAAGATTTGAACTGAGTTGTTTTGTGACTACAGAAAATTTACACTTCAATCCGCTGAAATGTTACGGAAAATATATGGTTTTGCTTATGATATTTTTGAAAAATTACCTTTTTCTTTGTAATAGCAGGTATGATAATGTTCCACTTTGTTTCACCTTATGAAACTCCAATATTAAATTATTAGTAAACATTGGATCCCTAATTAGATTTAAAGTAGTTTATAAGTATAACACTAATTAGGTGTTCTTTGCAACGATTTAATATAGTGATACATTTTTCTACTCGAGGAATATCCTGTTAGCAAATGAGTCCTGGAAAATAAGTTGTATAAACGTTAATAACAGAATTTGTACAAAATTGTACTTAGTACCAAACCACAATGTCACACACAATGTCAGCTACATTTCCATTCACAATTCGGACGTTATTGCATCAATTGCTTACAGGCAATTCCGATTCCCATATCACATAAAATACTCCAATCAAGCTTTGCTTTGATCAAACCACGATCAAATATCATATTTGAGCCTCGCATAAACTGCGGTTGTCAAAAAAGCTCGTTGAAAAAGAATATTTCAAACAAAACAAACCTTTAAGTCCATAGTTTCGGTTTAAACAATGCCTTTTAAGATACATACAAATAATCAAATCACTATTAAATCCCAAATAAAAAATAATCCTTGTTAAGGTTAGCGACTGGAATATGTATCTTGACTATACGTTTAGTAACTAACATTCCATAAATTTCAATTCGAGGAACAACTGTACACAATTTATTGTGTCTAATTCAACGAAAAATGACAGTGTTACCATCATGCATTTTTTCACTTTTTCAACTTATTTGTAAGGTAAGCATGGTATGTGTACATGTTTCATCGGTAAATGTTGCTGTAGTGTGTTCCAGTTAGTTTATGTAGACCCACTTCTACTCCAAAATTTTATAACTCATGAACTCATTCACAGTTTTATACACCGTTGAAACACAGATAAAAATAATATTTAAAAAACCTAGGTGGTATTACCTCTTCCGGTCGTTTAAATTTAAAATATAGCTATCCTTCTCACAAGTCTATACAACACTGTAGATCAAAACCTTTTGCAGACCATTGGTAAAATTTATAACTACGTTTCCATTTAGTTTTAGGTGGTTTTAACACGATTTTGAAGTCCCCAACTAACAAAAACCAATAATACACCACAATACAAACAGCAATATGAAGAAATATTAGAGCTAGTGTTATGAAATGTGTGTGATACATTTATTTATTTATATAAGTATGTATAGTAAGTGTTACTACCTTCTAAACTATGTCTATACCTAATAATACTATCTTCTCTGAGTATTTCCGATTGGTTGGGAAGAATTGGAGGTTGCTTATCAAACATTGATAATACGATTGATCTAACACTATTGTTGATAATTCAAACAGTTTATTGTTCACCTTCCGTTGTTTAAGATTAAAAAGACACTTCATTTCCATACGTTATGAATTTCACAAACCCGTAAGTCTACATTCTTAAAACTGTATTAGTTAGTTGTAAAAGTCACAAACTTAGGAAGTAAAATTCACTTTGTGAAAGCTGAATCCTATAGAGCTCACCGTACAATCTGAACTAAGAGTTTGGTATATAAAAACGGTACTTTTCTATAGATCTAATGCTATACCGACCACACCTTGATTAAGTTAGGTTACCATTAATAAATACGAAGTGACACGTAAACAAACCTAACCTAACCTAGCCTACCCTAACCGTTTCTTACATAGCCTAGTCTAACATAACCTAACCTAGCCTACCCCAACTGTTTCTTACATAGCCTAGGCTAACCTATCCTAACATAACCTACCCTAACCGTTTCTTACCTAGCCTAGTCTATCCTAACCTATCCTAACCTAGCCTACCCTAACCATTTCTTACCTAGCTTAGTCTAACCTAACCTAGCCTAACCTAGCCTACCCTAACCGTTTCTTACCTAGCCTAGTCCAACTGTTTCTTACCTTGCCTAGTCTAACCTAACCTAACGTAGCCAAACCTAACCTAATCAAGGTTTTGTCGGCATAGCATAACATTACAAAAAACAACAGTTTTCATAAAAAAAATTTGTTTATTGATTCCAGAAAGCACTATACAGAGCCAAAGGCTTCCATCCAGTTGATTAAGAGAGCGGAATGGGACGCGGAAATGCAGGATGGAGATATTCCTCCGCTGCAACTACCTGCTACCAACGTGTTCTTCACATACACAGGGACCAGCCAGTGTAGCTACAACAGCAACACACTACCGTCATGTCACAACGTGGTCAAGAACATACAACAGGAAGCCATCTTCGAGCATGGTCTGCCCGACATACCCTACAAGTAAGCAAATAATCATAGGTCTTCTAAGCACCATATAGTTTATAGTACAGTGTCGCTTAGAACGACACAAACTGTTGCCTTCTCTAATTCAAGGAGATAAAAGTGGCAACACCGCAGTTCCGGCTTACTGGATCAGCTGTTTAAGTTTACACATATTTGTTGTTTAGTATTATTACCATGGTTGGCCAGTGCCACGTTGCCAGTGTTGCCACACACCAACAGCAATGAATTGGAGGAGGATATGAAAAAATCTTTAAAAGCCCGACTGATGAAACGATCAGGAAATTAACCTCCCAATAAAACTCCTGACAAACCGGAGTATTACTGGTGATCCTTACAGAGGAAAAATGTTTCAATTGACCTTATTAGAGGTGAGAAGTCTTTCCAGAAACGTTTTACACTAAATGTATGTTGATTTAACACGCTCGCGGGGTTGACATGACTGAAAAGAAGCTAAAAGAGAAAACTTCTCTAATGTACATCACTGTTAACTTATAGAACACCGGACATTAGGCCTGGCAATAATTGGCCAATATGACATGGTTAGACCTGTCTGACTTACACTAGAAAAAGCGTATAACCTAATAGTCTAATAGTTCTACCTTTCCTCTATTTTGACACTGTAAAGTATTTGCGAACATGTTTTTACCAAACTCAAATCGCAGGAATATAGCAACCCCATTAAAGTGATACTAACTTTTTTCTGTACAAAACTTAGCTTTTTGCTGGGAGGTGACGGGTGTGTCTATGAAGGCAGAGGCTGGCGACTAAAGCCTGAACCAATCCCAGATGAGCCTGAGCTGAACGAGAGAAACACACTTGTTGTGGCGTACATTGGCAAAAAGGAAGGTAAATAAGTTATATGTGTACTTCGTAGCTGGTAAAACCGAATACTGTGCCATAAGCATAAATACTGTAGCTCATCATAGCAATTTTCTTTTTAGAGATAATATCAAGATTTTGTAATCCTGAAACACATTTTGTTCGTTTAAATTAAACGGTATCGTTAGGTAGATAAACGTCCAAGATGTAAATATAGGTTAAAATACGAACGTATGATCTTTTTAAGGACATTTAAAGTTATTTTTGATGTTGGCTATGTGTTTCTTATCATTTCACCGACATTTAAACTTATAACCACCTGGCATTTTGCGGCTTTTGGCGTGCCCTGTGGTATGACAATCAAATTTACCTGTGGAAATTTTACCATACGTAATATTATAGTACAATAAGACTTGGCATCGATGCAATTGAACTTAATCGGACATAAAACGCGCATATCAATATACTTATTTCACAATATATCAGTTTAGTTGCAGTATCCTAAGTCAATTGTGGCTACTGACTCCAAAGCGAATTGAAAAAAATATTCGTGAAAGTGAATTAACATGTCAATAGAGACAGCTTCATTCGTTTTTTCGAGTTTTCGTGAAATTCTGTACATATTATATTAATGATTGGTTCGCAAATTCTTTTATCACATCCGTATGGTGTTTCAGACGAATACGGAGCTACAGAGGCAAAGCGTATGACAGACGCCGGGTTAAATTTTATTAGAGATTCAATGTCTTACAAACAGTTAACTACCCCTTGTGGATTTTGGCATTGTTTACAGGAAGAAAGACCAATAAAACCCTTTTGATATGATTGAGGAATGTTTGGTGTTTGATATTTTTGCCGGAGTAGTGTGGTTTTAAGTGTTCGTCAGTTTAGAATATCTGTGAACTTCAATTTGAGATTTTAAAGTCATTTGATAAACGGAAGATCGATGAAATATTTTTGTCATTTGCATAATATCATGTTTTAGCCTAGAGCAAAACATTGATGACACAATCATGTTATGTATAAAATATCACAAGTAAATAGGTAAACATTTTTCACGTTTAAGTTCTACTTAGTGTTTATTTTTTTCCTTCTCTAAGAAATTTTTACTTTAATGTTCTAGAGAGAATGGGCGATGACGAATGGAGTAATATTAATGACGCTGCCTTTAACTTTGTAGAATACGGTTTAGACAAATATTTCATCACACGTTGTCAACAAAAGCTCAAAATTTACCCTGTATCATAATTTATAGTAAACGCTAAATGATTAAACGTTTTCTTAAAGTTTCGTGATTAATTTCTCATATTCCTTGTCAACTATTTTAGTTTTTGTAAAATTCATGAATGCCTATGTAACGAATCAACAGTGCTTTGAGAATAAATCAATGATAAATAAGTTGCTTGGAATGCAATATTTGTTCATTTTGATGTTGCAGTTAATTGAATCAATAAAGATGAACAATACTATAGTTTCATTAAAAAGTAATTAACACTCTTAATGACACCGACCTCACATAAAATTATATACAGCACACCATATTGGGCCCAAGGCAGCAATGTCGTGGGTTCGGATCCTGGTACCTAACACTAGTTTTTATCAGTTCAGTTCACCCTTGTACTGTACTGGCTCACCTCTCGCTTTGCTGGATACGATCCACACACAGGTCCTTTAATATTATAAACGAGAAAGTATGGATGTATGGATGTATGTTTGTGACAAGTAAACATGAAAAATACTGGTTGGATTGTGTTGAAATTTGGTGTGATGATAGCTCAGATTCCCGATTAAAATATAGACACATTCTTATCTCAAAAGTCCTTTCAGGCTCCGCCCCAGTGGCTCTGGAGTTTCCCATGTTAACCTTATGAGTAATCATATTTAAAAGGAATAAAACCATTTCGTCAGCTGTTCAAATACACAAGTTGGTTCTATGATATTAAATGGCATTAACAAGTTATAAGGTTTACCAACAGGGTGCAGTACTATTAATTTTAATATAAAACTTCATTATAGAATTTTTTCTAATTTATGTCAATAGATACTTTTAGTGCAGCCGAATTTTGTTTCTAAAAGCGTTGGTGGATGTGCTTTTTTATACAACAAATGTAAAGATCAAAATGTTTCTATTTTGTGTCCTCTTCCCGTTGCAAAGCACGGGTACAGCAGCTAGTGGTTATATAATATTAAATATAAGCATTGCTATTTCAATATACTAACTAACTTTGTTTATGGTGTGCTCATGGACTTTCATTACATCATGAAATGTTCTTGATTTTTCTCCTTTGCTGTTTAGTTAGAACAAAATAAAAAATAAGTTATTCTAAATAGGTAAAATTAAGGTTAATATTGTTTCGGAATTTTACCCACGGATTTTCAACATATTAACATATTTTCTAATTGTTCATTAATCTTTGGAAAGTGGCCAAAAATATATCCTTTCCTATTACAGTAATATAATTGTATCCATTAATTACGTTTAATTGAGACAAACAAGTTAAAACCAAGTGTTGTTAAAGAAAGGGTCGCAGTAGGGTTATTTAAACTACAGATGAGTTGAGAATGGATAAACAAGCTAACCAAGACTATATTTTATTGATAAAATAAAAGGATTACCTTATCCAACCACAGTTGCTGGTATGACAACTAGTTCACAATGAATAACCAAACAAGGGACCTAGGGTCACAATGAATAAAATAACTATCTTTTGGACAATAACATTTTTTAAGCCAGTGGTAATTTACTATCGGCAAACTAGTCCTCAATTAAGTTATAACTAACTAACCGTTCTTAATAAGCATAACTCTATGTCATGGGGAACACTGGTCAATTCAAAACCTTTTTCTGAAATAAATTGTGTTTTATATTTCCAAATACGTTGCCAAGCACCTTTAAAATATCAGTTTAAGCATCTAATTAATAAAGAAATCAATTAATCATTACATAACCCCCTGATGCCAATATTACCCTATACGAAACCTAATACAGAAAAATACTATAATTAAATAAATGTTGGTAGAACAGTTGCAGCTACAAAACCTTCTCTAATTTAGGATGCAAATACAAAACCATTCATGTATTTAAGATGTTAACGACGCCTAACAGTGGACATCTTGACAGTTTATTTTAAGCCGCGTTTACACCGGAGTTTGAAACACGAGTTGCAAACAGAAATTGCAAACATCTCTAAAAACGCCCATTTTCAGACGAAACTTTTCGCTGTTGCAAACAGTTTTTCGGTGTTTGCAACAGAAATTTTTGTTTCCACTTGAAGTCGGTAAAGATCAAAGGGAGTTGCAAACTCTTTGTTTGCAACACTAGTTTCGGTCACTATGAGCCGTTGAAACACGAAACAGAAACATTTCTCCGCCATCCCCTACGCTACCACCTCCTGTCTCACTCACGTGATCACTCGCACCACCCTGTATCTCGACTCAGTACCCTGTCTGTACGGCTACCTCGTTATTGTTGTGACTTATCTCGTATCGTGCGTGTTGTGAGTGATGATCTACTGAGTGAGATGGAGTGAAGAGATTACAAACAATATTATTAAGTTAATTAGCTTTTATAGAGAACATGAAGTGCTTTGGAATCAAACTATTTTCGACTATAAAAACAAAAACAAGAAAAACTATGCGTGGAATGACATTTCACGGGAAATTAACTTAAGCAAGGCAGAGGTCCAAAATAGGATGAGGAACCTCATAATTCAATTTAACAGAGAATCTAAAAAGGGCAATAAGTCTGGATCGGGGGCCGACGATGGGAAAACCAAGTGGGAGTTTTTTTATCAATCAATGATATTTCAATCAAGGTCGAAATTATCTCAAACATTTTCATGAAACATGGAAACAAAACCATGAAATAAAAATTGCAAACTTTTATTTGAAACTACTGTTTGCAACTGGTGTTTGCAATAAAAGTTTGCAACTTTTTGTTTGAAACTCCGGTGTAAACGCGGCTTTAGTCCACTCTTTGAGGTTTCTTCTTCTTGAGATGTTGTGTTTTCCTGAGTGCTTTGCTTCATCAAAAAATATCATCTATGCAATTCGATAATTTCTCAATTACTGAATCCAAGAGTATGCCTCAGTCACTTGTATTGTATGCCTCAAACAACAGTATTGTTGTTTGTTTTTTTTGTAAGTTCTGTTAAAATGAATAAATTAAAAACAATCAATAATAATGAATTTGACAAGTGGCAGCTGTGCGAATTAAAAGCAGCACCGACCATGTCTGCGGGTGACGTCATATTCGCAAATGAGGCAACCTCTGTACGTACCCAGCTATGATAAGCTTGTGTTAGGTCGTTGGTTTCTAATTCGTATTTTTTAACTAAAGACAACCCAATAATAGGATTCTTTGAGCTGATAGTGAAACGAAAAAAAATAATTACATCAATATTAGGAATAACACTTTTAACCTCCACGCAAAACTTGCAAGGAAACATTCTATTTCAAAAGTTAAGGTATTTTTAACACATCCAACAGATACAAAAATCCAAATACACATAGAAGGATGATCATAAAACCATTACTAAATGTTTCAGAGGAAATACCAAAATATCGCAAGAAAACGCTCGATAAATTAGAAAAAGGCTTTATGCAGTATTGCATCAGTTCAGGGAACATCGATTACAACGCAGACGTCTACTACGCACCAGCAACCCCTAAATCCTGGTCTGCAAACATGAAGGGCGAGAGAAACGCTGATAACGAATTAGTAGAAGAAGAAGAAGACGATGACGATGGGGGTGACCTTGAAGATGACCCGGATTTCGTACCTGCAGATGGAGAAAATATGTTTGAAGAAGATCCGGATTTTGTTCCTGCCGATTGAAACAGTACCTACGAGGGAGATGAAGATTGATGGGATGATAACTGCTGGATAATACAGTAGTGAGGACTTAAGGTGAAAGTGAAGTTAATGAACGTAATGTTGTTAAACATTTTTTGTACATAGTCACTAATAAAAAAGACTTTTATTATTTAAAAACGATGTCCCAAGTGAATTCCGATCGTGTAAAATAACTGAACCAAGTAAAATGAAAGTTTGTGTTACTTTTGACTCAATCCCATAGGCTACATAGACTATAGACAACACCTGGGTCAAAAATTTCGTATTGTCTGGGCCATTCCACCCTTTTGGTTTGATTTCCTTAGACATTTCCCCAGATTGTTTTTATAGTTGCATCAACTCCTGGGTCTAACGAAGGTGTTTTCTCCATAGTGTTTTTATTTTAGAGGTCGGCTGTCACTGTAGCCTTGTATTTGCCCATCCACATGTTATGGACCTGTGCGTGGAACGTATCCAGCAAAGCAAGGGGTGAGCTGGTACAGTACAAGGGTGAACTGTACTAATAAAAAGTTGTAGCAGTGACCACGATTCGAATCCACGACATCTCTTTGCCCAAAATCCGTTACGCTACCAACTGAGCCACCGACTCACTAAGAGTTTTCCTTTTTGTTAATTATTCAGCTTCAAATAAAAACCTGACATATTTTACAAAAGTATGATTCGAAAAAATAAAAAATATAAACGTCTTATGAAACCAACCTGAGCGTAAAACGTGAAACGTGAGTTTATTTAATCTGAATCCCTCGTGGATTAAACTCCAACCATCTCTAAAACCCTCTCTTTTACAACATTTGCTGAGGTTAGGTGATCAGGCAGTAGTTAAATGTTTGAATTGTAGTCAGCTACTATTCGCTTGACATTTATGTCGATGCTTCAAGTAAATATCTAGGTAACTGAATAGTTGTCACCCTATATTCAGTTCTCTAGTTCAGCTATGGGAGGATTAATGTTTTTGTGATTTTTTATGGCTTAGTCATTGGGCATTCAATAAGTGGTTCTGACTATAGAAACAGGTGATCGTAGTCACTAACATAGCACATCCTTTTATAAATTCTACACTCCTGTTCTACCTTCAGCCTAAAATATGTACGTTTGTGGTGTTCATGAGAAATCATAATTTTACGTCTGATCTCTGTTGGTTTTTAAACTTTGTTGGTCGGTGTTGGCTACAGAAATCATTTCCAGCCTTTATCTGTTCCAGAGGAGATCGGTTTTCCAGGATACTTTCACCAACACATGCAAAGTCTTGAAGACAGCCTCTGCTTGTACGGACTCAAGAAAAAATACATCGACGACTTCGCGTTAGTTGACTACTATTTGGACCCGGAACTCAAACAGCCAATACAGGAAGACCGGGAGGACATGGATGCGGAACTGGCAACAATCAATGAGGACTGGTGCAAAGACAGAGGAATTCCTGTCAACACTGACTACGACTGGCAAAAGTGGCGAAAATTTACTCGGTTTAATTGGTGATTTTTGTGCTTTCAAACCTTTGTTATAGTGTGTTTGATTTTGTACTTGTCACAATTTGTGGATAAAGGTGCCTTAAGGTGGACAATTACATTGATTGACACGCCTATGTTGTCTAAGAGCTTGGTTAAATCCTGGAAAGTTAAATATATTTTTTCTATGTGACATAATGACATTAAAAATGCATATTGCAGCTATTATCTGCAAGAAAACTCATTAGCTGATCTATTCATTGCTAAATACTGATCTACTGCCCTGTGATTTTCTATTACAATATATGGATTCAAGGATACGCTAAAACTGTTCAAAGCAGCCCTAATCACTAAAATTCTCATGGATGAGTAGGTGATCAAATGGTTGCAATCATATCGAAGTATGATACACTACAGAGAATATCTATATTACTTCTATGTGGATACACTAACTTCGATGTATAACGTACCCGCTTTGTAATACTCGTATTATTATACGTAATATAATCGTAAATGCGTACATAAACAGTTAACTTCTCTCTGTAAGAGTTTTCATCATGTAGTTCTGACTGTAGTTGATTTATTAACACTAGAAATGCCGTGAGTAACTGGAAATTTAGTGTTTAGTGTGCAGGTAAAAAAATTAAAGGACAAACTTTGTTGGGTTATTTTTTTAGTTGCAAAAATTAAAATAATACAATAACTAATTAATATCTTATCCTAGTACAAATAGACCATTGGGTAGGCCCAATCCAAGAAATCGTATCCTCTCCAAATCAATTTTTGTGCTTTTTCGTCTTCATCATCTAAAAAATGGTTTAAATTATAATAAATAAATAAAAAATACTCTGATTGTATACTAAATAAGATTTAGGCAAACGTATGTAGAGTTATTCGAGTAAATAGGTAATAATACAAACTTTACATTCTACATCTAAAATTTAACTCAGATATTCTAAAAATATTATTAAGAAATCGTTGGAAAAATTAAAATTAAACTGACAAACGTTAGCGAAATAAGAGAGTTAGCTATATTGCCATGTCTGATCATTTACAATGATTGTCATAAGTTCTATTGGAAACCAACGTATAAGGAATGAAGGTTTAATATTTGACACAATATTTTACATAGCCCAATCATAACGTTACTTGGGGCACACGATTTTCCATGTACGGAGAGTGAGAAAGAAAACAAATAACTGTTAAGAAATAATTAGACTAAATTACAATAAAGTTCGCCACACTTCACATAAAAATTAAAAAAATTACCCTCTCCATGTCTTATCCAGGCTATGGCACACTTGTCGTCGTCATCGTATTCTGGTCGCTTAGGGTCGTAGACATGGTTCCAGCCAGCTCCTTCGTATACGTTCCCATCACCACCGATAATCCAGCTTATAAACACACATATTATACACATATAAACACATATAATACATATATAAATACACATAATATGCATATAGTATACATATTAGTTATATAAATAAAAAAAGCACAAAAGCTTAGTGCTTCCATCAAAATTATCTTAGTGGTTATTCTCCATGTCAAGAATTTAGGTTAACCAGTTTTTAAGCCTATTTAGTTTAGAAATACAATAGGTTGGGGAGATATCCCGAAGTAACTTATATAACGGCATATTTTTAATTTATAATCCTCTTAAGTTTCCTATTTACACAATTCCTTATTACTAACGCCATGTTTGAATAGAATTGTGTTGATTTAGGCTAGGCAATGTTAGGTTAGGATACACTATAAACTCAGGATATAATACTAAATATTACATTTATGCTGCTTTTTCTAAATAATCTGTTCGTTCAAAGAAGAGCTCTTATAGTCCAGCTAAAGCCAGCTTTCTGCAGGGTTTAAGCACTATATAGATTACTTCGTATCTAAACTGTGATTCAAAACTTTAAGGGTGGATTCTTATTTCTTGGATCGTGTTTCAATGTCAAAAGGTTTCTTTCTCGCATTGTCCTTGTAGAACACGAGGTAATTTGTGATTTGCAGGATTGTATCATTGTAATGTGTATGACTAATTCAGTGTTTAAATACTGTCCTTACTGAACTAACTGGGATCGTTAGTAGTAGAGCATGGACATTCGGTTCTTGAAGTCCCGTGTTCAAATCCCGCCAGTCACAAATGGATTCTAACTAAGTGGTACTAAAGCACCTGAAGGCCTAGCCTAATATAATGTGAAAATAATCACAGAACCTAGAGTTAATGAACAATCTGAAAATACTAAGATACTTCACTTTATTTAGTGAAGGATCGTCTTTGAGACCGATAACAATTTGCCGTTGGGCTCATAATGCAAATAGAACAAACTTTTCAAGACTACCAATTACTTAAAAACATTCATAAGGTAATAATAATAATGAAATCAATGATTTGTCTTGTGAAAAACATGGAATTAATTTAATATCGATTAACAACTACAGTCGCGACCACGAGAGTCTGGAGAGGAGGGAGGAGCCTATTTACCACGTGACTTCGAAGGAGCCAATGAGGACAGTGCGATATTGCCAAATCGAATAATACCAGCTGATTTGAAAATATTGATTAGTATATTTTAATTGGTGTTGTCAACGGGCGATGTGGCAACGTCGCACTAGCCTATTCATGTGATTGGCTGCCACCAATTGCAAACTTACGTGGTCCCGACATTACAGTCGCGACTACGAGAGTCTGCAGAAGAGGGAGGAGCCAATTTACCACATGACTTCGAAGGAGCCAATGAGGACAGTGCGGTGTTGCCAAATCCTATAATACCAGCTGATTTGAAAATATTGTTTAGTATTTTAATTTGTGTCATCAATGGGCGACATGGCAACGTCGCACTAGCCTTGTCTTGTGATTGGCTGTCACAAACTGCAGACTCTCGTGGACCCGACTTTTTTTTAGGTATACTTGCAAAAGGCTGTAAATAATGAATTAGTAAAAGGAAAACATGAAAATTTGTGTTCTCACCTACTTGAAGTGAATGTCCTCGTGGCCGTTTTCCATGTGTTTCTGTTGCAGAGCTCTCAGATTCGCTGAACATTCCTCTCTTGTGTTACACTGGTCCGAGTCGGTGTAAGTGTAATAGACAATTCTTATGGGCAAATTCATTTCTCTTGGGTTTCCCTGCAAGATAAAATGAAAGTAATTACGTAATGTGAGGATATAGTATAGTGAGTAGCTTAAGTTATGTTATATAGAAACGTGGATTAAAAAAATAGTAAAATAAAATAAAATAAAAAATATTTTTCTGAGAGAAAAAATCCGATGGTTTCCACGTAGATGATGCCTGCGTAAGAAAGGAGTTCCAGCAGGGACCAGAATGAAATAATATATATATTATATATGTTTTTTATAGTCTCTTTGGTTGTAAATACCCATGTAATTACATGATACGTAACTATGCACTTTAACATACAACCAATCCACCAAATATTAAATTACCAAGAAACAGACTTCAGCTACATCAACAGTGGATTTACGAATTAGTTTTAAAAACAATTCGATAATTTATTTTGTGTGATTTAACGCCAATGGGATTTTTTAACTTTTGAAAGGGAACTGTACAAACCCAGGCATTGTTACTACCTAAAGTAGTTTTTTTGTTATATAGCTTCATCAAAATTGACAGCCTAATGAAAAATTGTATCTGGGTCTGGAAACGATCTCGTTTAGACTCGAAAAAGTGACCTTCAGATTTGAAGACGAGCACTGTGACCATCATTTCAATTAGAAGCACATGCGCCAAGCACCGCACTTCAGTTATTTTTATTTTTACTACCCTAGTTAACAACAATGAACAACAACAACAACAACTACTACTACTACAACAATCACCTTTGGTTCCACAGCTCCCCACATTTCCCGTGTTATGATGTCTATGGGCATCTGATACATCCCCGGATCCCATGTCAATGGTGGAGGGTCACTCGGGTAGTTCTTTGAGTAGTTTTCTATGTCAAACTCGTCGTGGGGAAGACGGATTACCATGGTTTATCTGTAATAAGAACACTAAATACTATTTGAGAACTATTTGTCGTTAGGGACACTAGTTGACTTATATATTCAAGTTTAGACTGATGTAGTTAGTAAATATTTATTTTGCCGTTAGCTGTATCATAATAATCTTTGATAGAAATACGTGTATACATAGCTATGCTAGATTTCTATTTTATTTTAGATTATTCGATTATTATTAGATTATCTTAGGTTTTACGCTAGTGGTGAAGTCTATGGGAAACTGGAGTCTTAAGATCTACCACGTTATTCTTTTCTTATGAATTAGTACGTTTCATTTATACTTATCGAACCTTGTTGGGTCCACAATAATTTCCTTAACGTGTGCTATAAAATTTCGGTAAAGTTTTTTTTTCATCAAATCAAATCAGTTTATTGGGCCAAATTAACAGTTATACAGTTTTAATTAGCCAGGTCAATACAAATATACTATACTATACATCAATTACTAATATTTTGTAATATTTACAATAATAATTACAAATTAGAGCTTTCAAAACATTTCAGGAATTCTTGGACGCTATAACAGGTTATACTTAGCAATTTATGTTTTAATTGTTTTTTTTTTATTTTGAAAGGCTTGGTTCCAACTTAAGAGATAATGGAAGAAAGTTGAAAAGCTTTATGCCAATGTACAATGTGTGTTTTTAAAAAAAAGAAGTTTTGTGTTCATCTGTAACTTTAAATGATTATTGATTTAAAGCAAAAGCTTATAAACGATATCATATTCCATTTTTTATTGCTTGATTTTCAGCAGTCAACGTGTTTATCCATATATAAATCCCAAAGTATCCATGAACTTTTGAAAAAACTACAAGTCACACCCCCATAAACCATATACTAAAAATTGTCAACATGACGATAAACCTTGCGCAAAACTATGCATTATTTCATAAATCGCCTTTAAGGTCGTAATTCCTTTCTAAAGGTAACTTTCCATATAAATAATTTTAAAAATACCCCAGCGGTACTTATTTGTTTGTTATTCATCCAATTTATTACCTTTTTAAAATCAGGCGTGACTATTTGTTTGTATTACTGTATTCTGGTTTGTTTATTTAGGCTTAACTTAACCAATCAATCGTCTTATTAATACTTATGAACGGGGTGAAGCCCGTGGTTAACAGCTAGTTTATTTTAATAATACAATGCTACAAAACAGGCTTACCACAAATTCTACGTAGCATTACTACTCTACAAAAAAACTATTCGACGTGCATGATAAATAATAAACTCTTTTATAGTCCGTCTTGCTTAGGAAATAACTTCCATTATTTACTCTGACAACAATACAATAAATGGCAACAAACGAATAAATAATGTACAAACAAATATATTTAAAATAAACATTAGTAATGATCTAAGTATTTTTTAGAAACTGTTAGAAAAATAATCGTCTCGATAGCCCCTCAACTTTATTTAAAAACATTAGAAATAAACTAAATTAATAAAAATAAACACTATCAAAATATAAACCGTAATATATTTATTAAATAATGATAATAAATAATGCTTACCAAAGTGCAAAGCCAAATAGTTTTAATTCACTTCTCAGCAGTCGAATGTTTATAGAGTGTACCATTATCATTATCCATTCGACTTGAACCTAGAAATGTTCTTTCCTAATCATACTTATTTTAAACTGTTACTCAGACACGTAAAATACTATAAATAACAAATAATCAGTTATTTCATGAATAATATTTGTGTACATTTGGTTATAAAACATATTATCTCTCTTTAATGTAAAATTAGTTTGTTTATTTCATTGTCAAAAACGCTCATTGGACTCGGAGGTTTAGTTGTATTCGGAACATGATCTGACTATTTTTATGCAGTAAAGTCTTAAAAGTAGTACTCTAATCCTAATGAAATCCTATGTAGGATTTTTATTTAACTCCACATTTCTAGAATAACAAAAGATGAGTAACTGTGACAAACATGTTTTCATTATCATCTTCTATTTTTTATATCATATTGAAACTATTTGACATACCATAGCTGAAACTGTACCACCCGATTATAAAAAAGGTTAACACACCACCCCAGAGGTTGTAAGCTTTAAAATGCAAAATTCAGTTAAAAAAACCCATATAATGGCATCTAGTGTTTTTGACAAGTTGTTTATCTTCACCGGGAAATAGTTTGTAACTATTTTAATCACCCTTTTTAACATCTTACAATTACTCTACACAATTGATTCTCACTTTTAAATTAATTGCAGGTAAAAATAGGGCCAGCGGCAATATAATGCCCTGATGACTCCGCTTAATTTTGTGGACGCGACTGCGAACGCAACATAGTTATAACATTCTGGGCTAAGTTTGTTGGTGACTACAGATATGTTTACGTTAATGAGGAGTTTATTTTCTCAACAAAAGATTACTACCTTATAGAAAACAGAGTGTGGTGTGAGATTCCTTTTTCTCTTTCACACAACAACATTTGAACTATGATACGGTGGCTAATTGAGAGCGAAAGAATCTTTTGTATCACCATAAGCGTTCATTAAGAAACGAAGTAATATTTTCAATTGGACACACTCATTAAGAATCTCGTAGAAGTATGTCATCTTCAATAGAATAGGGGGGGATTAAATAAGACCCTACAAATGTCAACCGAGTAGAAAAAAAACTAAAGTCCATTTTTAGCCCCTGAGCTGTGATGTAACTAAAAAATCGGGTCTACCTTTCGTCTACAGCTCAATGAATTGTAACTTTCGTTCCGGCCGTTTCGGCATTAACATGCCATCATCAGACGTCTTTGGCTGAAGCAGCGTCGTCACAGTAGAAACACATAACAAACACGAACATATTTTTCAATTACAAAAATTCTAAAATAAATTAACAGGCCTATTGCACACACTGTACCGGATGAGCCAGATGCTGATGGAGGTTAATCCTGCATCGTTGTTGGCGTGGCGGTGTTTTAGCTGACCTTTGTACTCCTGCCTTTGGTCTATTGTCCTAGTTTAAAATACTATTGAACATGAAGTGTGACGAAGACGTCTGATGATGGCATGTTAATGCCAAAACGGCCGTAACGAAAGATACAATTCATTGAGCTGTTGACAAAAGTTAAACCTTTTTTTAGAGTATAAAAAGGTAATGATATTAAATAATTTATTTTATTACATAAAAATTAATTATATTTTTTTTATCCACCCTTATTTGTTTTCTGGATGGAGTATTTAACAATCTGTTCACAAAAATTTGATTGTCTTACCTAAACTAATGCTAAAAATTGCTTCTTGCAAACAATAGGTATTAGAACCTTTGAAGCTAATGAGGCAAACCCCTATAGATTATCTATGATTATCTGGAAACTCACTTACATATCTTCCAAAATGTAAAAGATTTAAATTAATAGGAAGAAAGTAGTAATACTTAACTACAATGTAAACCAATTAACATATATAAAAGTGTCAAAAATGCAGCTACAGGAATATTCTTTTCTTTTTTCTTTATTCTACACGAGAATGCGTATATAAAATGTCAAGAAATCTAAATAAAAAGTTCTGTGCAATATATATACTAGGCTACATTTCCCTTTATTTTATCTATGGAGTAATTATAGTAAATTAGAGGGTTCCACCCACAGGCTATTTACCACGTAAACAGGGTCTTGCAAAAAGAACGTCCTGGCATTAATAAAGTGTTTATCGAGTTGATATAAACTGTAAAATATTCACAAAGATCCAAACTATGCACTAAATGAACTGGAACTTTGTAATGGTTTTTTGAAGTATTTACAAAATAATTTTGAAAATCCGTAAATTAGTCTTTTTCACATGTGATTTTAACTTCTAAATAATAGTTAAAAATTATTTTTGCAAAACCCACTACAGGCTCTGATATGTTACGAGCACGACAAGTTCACAATCATTGGAAACAAATTAGTTTTAGAATGTTGAGAGCTTGAATTGACTTGACCTTCCATCCCATCGCCTCAGTAAGACTGCAAACAGTTTCCCCACTATGGCTATAAAGCTGTATAATAGTCTCAGTGTTGAGATCAGAGGCCTGCCAGTGAAAGCGTTCGTAGCGCACATGTCTAGGGAGTTGAAGACTAGGCCCCTTTACTCCATCAGGGAATTTTTTGAAACCCCTGACTCAGTTTGGACATCATGATCCACCACCTTGTATATAGTGTGTGTAGACAAAGTTTTAAAGTTTTAATTTTTTCATTTAACGCAATCTATCCAGCGATGGCTGGGCAACGATGAAGAACCGGTAAAGGTAAAGGTAAAGGTATTGAAAAAGGAATGTTCAGTAACATAAGCATGTTTAGCCGCCATCTTGAATTGACCTGGAAGTACCCTCTTAAGGATGACAGGGTTAATAATAGTGCAAAAATTGATTTTAATAAATTTACAAATGATCATAAATCTCAATGTTTGAGATTTTCCGCCCAACTGCTATGGAGGTGGCTCTTCTGCTTCGCTTATAAAGTAATCACTGTCATACGACTTATAATCACTGCTATCAGTACTCACATCACTTAGCTTGTTATCATGTTTCAAGTCAAACTGTTTAAATAATTCTTTGTTTTCCTCCATGACCTTGTCTAATTCTTCTTTGTTCCCGAAGAATGCAGGTTTCTCCGCATCGGCGTAGTGAACAGTGTTGATGTGCTCGTTCCACTTCTTATTCTCTTTATTCTTTTTCGCAGATTTTTTCTTTGCCTTTTCTCTTTCCTCCTTGCATTCCTTTTCTGCTTGTGTCATCATCATGTCTTGAAACTCTTGCTCTTCATTCTTTCTAGCTTCTTCGTCTTGGAACCCGTATTGGTCGAAGTCCACCAGGTAGTCGTTGCTGATTGCATGGTACATCAGGTCGTAAGCTTTTTGGATCATATCGTCCATTCTCTTGTCGTCAGCTGTAAAAACAAATCATAAAATGTTTTATGTGTCATCGAATTTTCTCGTTGCTTGAGAATTTCAACGAAATTCTAATATAATATAATATTTCTATGAATTATATTATAGTTCATAATATAACTCAATAAAATCACATGGTAGTCCTGTAAATAAAAAATACTTTGTTATATTTTGTCTATGGCAAGACAAAGTTAACTTCATGCTCTAAATGTTCGTTACAAAGCAACTATACTGTTAGAACAAATGTAAAATATTACCTACAAATTTACAATAAACAAAACTACTGCTAGTAATGTTTCGTCTAAAAAAATACACAACAATACTCTGTATGTGTTAGTATGTGTTATTAATGTAATTTAGTAAATATTGTAGTTTTTTTTTTCGTAAAATGTATCAAACCCTTTAAAGTGAACCTTATTTATATGTCTATCAAAACAGTCCAGCTAAAAAAGTAGTACCTTGTTTTTACTACGAGTGCCACGTGAAACCACGTGTTTACTACTGTTTTGTTTTGTGTGGATTTGTAGTGGAATAAATCTGATTTGTTTGTTTATAGTAAGGTTTTTGTGTATTATGTTTGATTTGAGCTATATTATATCTTTATTTTAAAAGGATGAAATGTGCATTGGTGAATTTGGTTGGTATGATAGTTAGGAATGTGTATTGGCACCCTTGTAAAACGTTAACACAATTTTTTACTAATACTAACAATTACCGGGGGGGGGGGGGGGGGTGAGCTGGTTAAGTGGTAAAGCACAGGACCTCGGTCCCTGAGGTCTCAGGTTCAAATCCCGCAAAACACTGATGGATTGAGTCTAAGTGATAATGCTGAAACCTATAGGTATATAAACATGAAACACGATCATAGGCTTGAGCGTAGTGCTATATTTTCATACCTTCCATCCTAGGACGCTAGGTTCTAGCCTGGACCTGTTTTACACATTACATCAGGCTAGTCCTAGAGGGTTGTGGTATTTTCAAGTGGATAAAATCCATTGATGATTGGTGGTATTTGAACCCGAGACCTCAGGCTCTGAAGGCCCGAGCTCTACCACTACTCAGCTCGTTACCCCATCTTTTAGACATCACAAGACATATTTCTTTGCTACTTTTACTTGCAACATGGCCGATTAATCCAAACACTACTCTCTCGTCGACCCAATCCTCCTGGTCTCGTCTTCTGATCATCACTCCCCATCCTCTGCCCTCGTAGACCCTGAGGTCGCCGCCAATGAGGAAGCTAGACCAAGGACATATTGAGTAGCTTGTTTTATCACAAAATCCTTAAATATTATTTGTTTTTATAATGTTTTTATCAATGTAATAATTCACTACTTTACAATGCCCAGTGTTTGGAATTTTTTATATGGGTCTTTTATTTGCACATAAATTCTTTGTCTTTGACTAGTGATAGAGGTAGATTGAATTTCCATGTTATATTTATAGCACGAATACAAATGAAAATGGACGGAGTTGAATTGAACCTCTGTTCGATTGTATGATGAAGACGCAAACTTTTGTCCAAGCCAAAGTGTAAGAACAACTTACCATAAAAATAGATCACATTGTATGTTACATTTGCTATCAAAATGCCATAAACTATGGGGGAAATGGAAATTTAACCGTAGCGCAATCTGTCAGTGTTTCAATCAACCATGAGCTATACTGGGTACAAATGGTCTGTATGGGTGGAAGTATTGGATTTATCTTGCAGTATCAAAACGTCAAATGGTAAACGTAAGAACTAATGGTGTATGTAATTGGTCAGCTAAAATGAAATTACATTGGGTTGTTTTCATGTACTGTAGGAGTACAAATTAATATTTGGTTGCTCAAACAGCAATTCAAGTAACGCGCCTGTTTTTTTGGAAGAGTTTGAGCTTTTACGATTTATTTCTCCCAAATTGTATGATTCTTTATTCTTACCCTTGAATTGCAACGAAAGGTAGTGTCAGCTGCTAAAGAAGTTTCTTCGGTAACTAGTTGCAATTAGTTAGATTTTCTCCTTAGATTTTCTTACATATATATTTTCATCTACATTGCGTTATACACCTATTCAAAACTTAAGATAACAATATTTCATCAACTTGATACAAAAGGTTGATAAAACTAAAAGTCTAATACAGCTGTTTGAAGACTACGGAAACATTCAAACTACTAATTAATGCTCACACCTTCAATCAGATACAGTATTTACCTATAAGGCAGGTCCGGCATATCTTTCACATCCATGTAATATTTCTGCATCGTCCTCATTGCCTTTATACACTCCACTTTGCTCATACAACGCTCTGTGTTTGTATGTTCTATTAACATTCTTTGCGCGGGAAGTGGAAGTGGCTCTGTGAATTTTGGCGGGAGCGCACCCCATCTTGTTCTCGGCACAAACTTGATGTACGGGTCCTCAATCCTGTCATCCTCCATAGTTTAGGGAAAATGTGAATTATCACTCAATAAATGAAGAACCTTGATCACATTGGAACGCCATGTTTACTTCTTAACATTACCAAACCGATTTATAAACATAACTGCTGTGATGACTGTTTACATAATCAATGGTTCTTTTGTATGAAATGCAAATATTGTGGAATATTGGATGTATCTATAGCCCATAAATCATAGGAAATGCTTATACCTTCAGATAAAACTCTTATCACCCTTAGATTAGTTTTTCGGCTTATATGTATATTAAGTGATGAGTAAATTTGATTTGAAATTAAATCTAAATGTATTAAGAATGCTTAGTCTTAACATTTCTCAATAATATAAAGGACAATAAGTTTTTGTATCGAAATGAACCATAATCATTACAACTGGACGTTAGTGGCAGCAGAGTGCATCATTTTGTTTAGTACATTTACTTCCAATTTGTGAGTCAAGAGTTTAAACTTATTTGTGATATATTTTAATTACGTATCAATATTACCGTCAAAATTCAGAAAAATTATTTTCGTGTGAATCCTTTTGAATATTTTATTTTCATGTGCATCAATTAAGTTTCTCTAAGTTTCTTGCCAAATTTTTTCTTTGTGGCGTTAATTTATAGAGATTAATCGACAAAATCGTTTCTAAGATTTCTCACAGTTAAGAACATATACAATCCATAATGGTGTACGTGAGGATAGTGTCTCGAGACGCATGGAAGGCACAGCCTCCTTTGAGAACAGAACCACTCATATTTCCAGTGAAAAGTGTTATATTTCGTTACACGGACACTGAAAAGTGTTTTACAGAACTTGAGTGCAGCAAAATGTTGCGGGGCTTTCAACAAGCAGCTCTAGCTAAGGGAATGGCGGATATACCTTACAAGTGAGTTAATTAGCAATATCTTTTGCGTAGGAAGTTTATCAATATTCTCATTAGTTGGTAGCTTGATTATATTCGATATCGCTAGGCTGTAGCTTACTTATATACTTCACAGTTATTTACTTAGTGTTATACTTTCTAGTGAAGTAAAAATGCACAAATGTCTTGTTAATTTTACAGATATTGTTCAGTTAGTGGCTTACTAATGGATTTCACCTATAACTTGGTAGTTTAATCGTATTAATCGTAGGAGATTGTAGATTACTTACACCCTTTGTAAATTAATTAGTGGCTTACTTAATATGAAATAGAAAATTATAATTTTGCCAACAAACATTCAGTAACTATACAATGTTACATTGTATAACATACATTAATAATCCTTAATATTAAACCAGTAACCAACTAAATGCTAATTCTAAAGGCCTCCAATAGCTTTCTTCTTAGGTTTTAAAGTCACTTTTACAGTGGATTCATCTATCTAATGTGATATTTCTAATGGTACCCAATAGCTTTCTTCTTGGGTGTTAAGGACTCTTTAACAGTGGATCTATTTACCTCTTATAATAATTTAAAAAAAATTTTAATAATAACAAAAAAAATTAAAAATAAGTCATTAAAAACAATTTTATAATAAACAAATTATTGAAAAAGGTTGCTATGGTTTATTTTTTCTATTAACGATATAAACAAATTATTATTACATTTTTATATCATTAATTATAATATAATAAATTATAATGTAAATTATTAATTATTATATTATTGAATATATTTAAAGTTATAATACTTGAAATAAAAAATATCACAAGTATGGGTTATTGAATACCTTAAAATTCCTTTAAGACTATTCTCAAAACGCAATTAGAAACAAGAGCTGAAAAAATAATTTAAATTATATATACCGTTTAATTTAAAACTTTGCTTAAGACATCACTTCATCCTCGGGCCTGTTTCATAATAAAATACAAACTAATTTTATTAGTAAACAGCTGATCGCCCAATGCTTAGTGAAATTACAAATTACAAGTTACAGGTTATAACTTGTAGTTTATTATGAAACAGGCCCCTGGAATTACTAATTTTAATTTCTTTATATAAATGAAATTTCAGTTTTCTTATAGGTAGCGATCTTAGCGTTTATGAAGGAAGAGGCTGGAATAACAAAATGCATGATCGAAAATTGGTAATCGCATACATATGTTATCCTTCAGGTATGTATACAGATATACAGTATAAAATAACACTATGGGGATTATTATGTTTCCTAAAGATATCGAATTAATTTTAAGCAAGTACTGTTATGTTAGTGGAAGATGTGTAACAGCTTCTTCTTTGTTTTTCGAAAATAAATAAACGGTATCAGCATTCTGACACATACTTTCTCCCATAACCTCGTCAACATGGGTAGGAGTAAATATAATAATTTATAGTAAAAGATCACAAAGTTTGCAATAACTTTTGAACCGTAATTGTTACAGCAATGGGGTGTTTTTCTATTGTTTTGAAATGTAAGAACCATAACATATTAATTTCGATCAAAACCAGCTTTTCTACAAAAATAAGATTTTTTGTTATTTTATGATTTTTAATAAGAAAATAACATAAGTTACAATAACTTTTGAACAGTGATTTTTACGGAAATTGGATTAGTACCATTTTGTTTAGAATTTAAAGGACTATAACATACAATAATTTTAAAAAATCGCTTGAGCCATTTTCGAGAAAATCCGATTTTTCCGTTATTTTATGGGGTTTTAATGGGAAAATTCCCATTAAAATCTAAATTCCAAAAAATTAAAAAAACTTACAAACTTTTGAAAAAAATAAAGTTTAATTCTGACCAATAGTAATTTTACAGACATAGATGAAAACACGGAACAGATGAACCATTTGGCTTATCAGTTTATCAAGATGAATGATAACAAAGTCAATGTGCTGTCATCTTTAGAGGAGCAACAGGGACTCAAGATTCGGGGAGAAGGATTTTACGGTGGGGATCCAATCTTCAGCCCTCCTGTGAGTCCATGAATAGTGAGGAAATAACTACTGAAGACCTTTTCACCACAATACTCTGATCTAATGGACTTTCAACTGATTTTTAGTATAGAAACCAGCTGTTTGCACCCATGAATGTTACCGAACTTACTAATCAAGTTTATGAACCAGGAGGAACGGTCGTTGCTCGGATTTCCAACTAATTAAAATCAACAATGCCATCGGTTTACCATCCTGTGCTAACTCCCTTTCTAAGGATAACATATTAAATTCAAAACTGCTTTGGTTTAGGGTCTTTTTATAATCAGCTGATATTCGTTGTTAATTCGTTGGCAAAATAGTAAACACATAAGGCTCACTGTTAAATAATTTTTGAACTTCTAAATTTTATTACGTAATAAGACTTTTGTTAACAGTTATGGGCAACGTATTAAAACCTGTACGAAACACGTTTTTAAGCCATAAATAAATGATTATCAAAATTTAAATGAAATTATTGAAGCTGCTATCGAGATCTTTGTCCAAACAATCATACATACAAACAAACATTGCTCATTATAAGAGTTATGGATTTACTTCACCAAACAAGTTTTGATTTTTCCCACTAAATTAAATTCTGAAGACAAAATGGCAAAGTTTAATAATAAGTAGTCAAACATTCTAATGGCAGTGAGTGATTATAAATGAACATAAGCACTCAGAGAAAGTTATAAGAACTTGTTAAGTAATTAGATTGGTAAAGGCATATCACCGACTTTTAAGTTATTCTATTGGAAGGCTAGTTTAGGGTAATAATTGCGTAAAAAGTGTACGTCACTAGCTCAAAATAAGTTTAAGTCATTCGACTTCGTCTCGCACATGTAAGACAACCCTAGATGCAGCAGCCAGTATAAATGTACACTCCATGGTTAAAATACTAAAAAGGGGAGGTCAAAAAACATTTTCAGGACGGTTATTATTGTATCGTAGTTTTAAAGCATAAAACAAAATGTGATTTGAAGTATTTGTGAGTTTAAGTTGATCATGTGTGATTATATGATTCATATTATTATCATTTTTTATTACACATTTTTAAACAACAATCAACTCTTGCACTAATAGTATTTTTTAACTTCAAAGTTATTTTTTTAATGAATGATTCCTACTAAATTTTAGGTTGTTAACCAAATATTTATAACATTTAGTTTGTACTTTGTAGCCTACGTAAACAAATTATAGATAACATGTTTTTATGAATTGTGATAATCAACTGTAAAAATTATATTATTATTATTTAATAAAACATTTAAAATGTATTAATAGTTTAAATACCGATTTAACTATACATATTTCATGTCAAACAATGTTTCCTTGATGTACCATTAGGAAAATTTTAAACAAATAAACCAGAATAAGAGTATGTAAATCTTTACTGATCAAGTTTATTTAACAATGTCATTATTACCAATACGTACATTTAAAAATACATCATACAATACTTAAACGAAAGGGACATGTTAATTGGTATCTATTTAAACTTTTAATGGTTTACAACTCATATTTTTTATAACAGGTTACGTACCTTGACGTCCACAATTCCTTAGTCGGTATTCGTTGACTATAGTTTCGACTACTACGTAGTCATTATCAAAAACGGAACGTTAAAATATTACATTCGTTGAATGTCGTCAAAACTTAAATATATCGAACACACAAACAAACATAACACGAACACGGTAGACATTTAACATAATTGGCCGGCCGGCACACGTCACTCCACGTTCCGTTTTTGATAATGACTACGTTACGTAGTAGTCGAAACTATAGTCAAAGGATACCGACTAAGGAATTGTGGACGTCAAGGTACGTAACCTGTTATAACTGATTACCAATTCCGGAAGGCTTCAACATGAATCATATTTTTTGTTCTTTATGTTGTGATATTTTATCACTTTCTTTGTCAGATCTTTGTCAAATTCGAAATGCTTTAAGTTTGTTGTTTTTATACTGTATACAGTAGAGTAGTAAAAACGTTAGACTTTTAACTGTCAACGACAGCATAAATTCGTTTTAAATAAATTAATAGTAAATATTATATTTGTATTGATTTACATTTTGTGAAAAACTTTAGTTGTATAATGATTACTGACATCACAACTAATGATGGTAATTGAAATTCACCAGCAAAAGGCAAAATTTAATCCTGCAAGCAACGTTAAAAATATTATAAGCTTAGACTTACGTTATTACCTACTGTATCAATTGTCTAATTGAAACAAAACAAAAAGCATTATTATTTACAAATGTTATATATGTATAATAGCAAAGCACATAAGACCAAGTATGATATTATGAGCTAACTCCTCTCAATGTTTTCTTGATTATTATACTATGATAAATCCCTTTCAATGATTATTATTTTCATTTTATTGTTTGCTGGTCAATCAATCTGTTTTCCAGGAGCCAGGATAGGAGCCGGAATCCTTGTTTTTCCATGTGTTTCATCCAAAGTTTGTCTTTACTAATTTCTGTAACGGAAATAATTTTTCGTGATCATATAATGGACTTAGTATTATTATAAACAGTTGAAATTTGTATTTTACCTATGATAATTATAATGCAGAATTAGGTAATCACACAAATGCGATTTAAATGTTATGTAGAATGGATAGTAAAATAGTTAACTTATAAACTTTTAAGCCGGCAATACTTGGAAATATTTAGGTTTTGGTGTGCAATTTGGTCGTAAGTGGAACACAAAATAATTGCATGTAACATAGATATACATCTTAATGCGTGGGAATCTTATTTTATAGAAAAAACTGACCAAAATTATTTGTTAACTAATTAAGACGGCCCAATTATTAACTCGGGATTACTTTAAATAATTACATCAAGAACAATACTATAATATATCCAAAATTCAAAAGATTATTTTTTCATTAACTTTTACAACATCCTACACATAATATGGTTTTTTCATTTAGCTATACACCATTGACTATAGTCAAAGGTTATACATTTTATTATAGACATACAAAACAAATGTAATAGCGATAATTCTTTCTGAAAATCAACTGCGAATTATCGCTGTACAACTGTACAGAAACTAATAAGTTTGTCATCTGTTTTATTGGGTTAAATACACTAAAGCCTTTCTAGGACCGAAACCTGTTTGTAAAATGGTGGAAAAAAGTTCTGGAACGGTTAAAAATTTAAAAAGGTAATGCAGATAGAGGTTCAGAACATGGTGCACAGTTACTGGGAATTAAGATCATTTTAACACATTATTCAAAGATGCGCTACCCCCTGAAAGGAGTCAGAAGAAAATCTTATAAGTAAGCATATATTGAAATGCAGATCAAATTAAAGATTTTGGTTAGTGGAATATAATGCCAAAAACTTTTGCTCAAAATAACAACTAACTGAGTATGAAATAGCTGTCGTTCAAATATTTGAAATGGCAGATTCAAGAAATCTTTGAACGGCTGCCATTTAGACTCGGTTTTCCGTTTTAGTTTAAATTTGTGGCATTGTATTCTACTAGTAAATACCTTTTGAATTTGATGTACATATCAACCTATGCTTACATTTCAGATTTTCTTCTCACTCCTAGTGTGCCGCCCCCCTGAAGAGGTAGCGCATCACTGAATCATGTGTTAAAACGACATTAATTCCCAGTTAATATGTAGGCTACCAAGTTTAAGAGCTGTATCTTTATTACTTTTTGAAATATTGAACCGTCCCGGGACTTTATTTCCTGTATAGGACCGGTATTATTGGATTTTGGCCAGAGAATAAGGTTGAAGTTGTTACCGCCTATATTTTATTAGTGACATCATTTAAAAAGGGAAAAATCGTTATCAAAAGGGAAAGTGCCTGATTTTAATACATCTTCGAGACTTTGCATAACGATTTTGAATCAACAGAAAATTTAGTTTTAACAACAAAACAAGTAAAAATCTAAAAGGACTGTGAGTCATAATTGTCATAGCTGCATTTAAAACTTAATCTTTTACCTCCCTGACATTGTAACAGATACAAATATGATTAAAATAATTATTCTCTTTTCTGAGGGGAAAAACTATACGCTACACAAAAGCATTTCTACTCGACCCACCTTCTTGGCGGCCAATGTACGCAAATATGAGTGAAGGAGTTTCATCTTCTCTTTCTCCATGAGGACTAAGAATGTCCTTCACGTGGGTCCTCCATCCAGCTCCTTCATAAAAGTTGTCATCCCCACCTATTAAATAACTGAACAAAATAAATCGGATTTCACACCAATTATTCTGACCGTAGAAAATTTATTTGTTGCCTAATAAGATTAGATAGACTTATTTAAAACACAAAAACATAGTTTTTATATAAAAAATGAAATTTAAATACCACTGCGATATATTTTGAATTGATATAACAGACAAAATACGGTATATATTTTCCTTTTTTGTTTACTAATATATTTTTCCACCTTTGTTGTTATTTATCTAGTTTTGCATGGTTTGATCTTTCAACTTTTTATTTGAACTTTGCATTTCAGTTTTGTTATTTTTATTAAGTTGAGCATTTGTCATTGACCAAAAGTAACGTATCACATAATTCGTTTGTATTTTTCTATTTGAACTATGCTTTTGGCCCAGAAGACATTTATTTAGACTTGAAGCCCCTCTGGAATTGTATTGCAATAATTTATTGAATCAAATCACTTAATTATCTGTGGATTTGATATACCTCGTTTGGATTAACGTCCCACTAGTGAGTACGACAACTATCCGCAGTAATATCTTGATAATTAGACCAATCCGTAAAAATGTGGTTCGGATTCCACTATAAACTGTAGGTACCTTTGTTGTCATTGGCTGTATGGGCTATTAATTAACAGTCCTGTCTAAGGAACAAGTCGGCCTTAGTCAATAACAAGACTACAAGATCGCTCCAATCATATTTGGGTTAAAATACGCACACAGTGGCTTCCGCATCTTAATTAATTGATAATTAATTGAAAAGAGGTTACTAGAATCAAAATAAGAACGCGCAACCCATCCTACGCTCATCTCTATTCATACTTAGCTTAAAATACCTACCTTCATATGGTTTCCATTTCAGTTAAAAGTATAAGGTATAAAAGGTGTGAAACCATATCATGACTAATGCTTCCGTACCTGTACTGTATATCTGGGTAACCTTGCCGCATATGACTGATCTGCACGTCCAGCACAATCTTCTTGCAGTCTTTAGGCTTCCTGCATTGGTCAGTGTCGGTGTATCTGTAGCAGAAGGAGCTCATCAACCCTCTCGACCCCTCACTAGACCGAGGTTTCTTGGCACCCCACTCGTGCCTCGCCACCACACGCCTCTTGTAGTTGTCTTCCTCTTCCACCTCCCCTGGCCAATAGTCGGGGTACCACACATTGTAGAAGGGGCGCTTCGGCTTCATAAATCACAATCTGAACAGGCCAAGATGTTAAATAGTGCAAAATTAAGTTGTTGAATGAATGTATGGACAATTATTAACCAAACAGTAATGTTGAACAAAAATCAATTCTTAGTAGTCGATTAGCTTGCTACAGTGTGAAGGCTCGATTAGACAGGGTGCAAGCGACAAAACTTGTTAACACGCAGATTGTAATCTGACTATGGATCACTTACTGTAAATATTAGATTACGGTGTAAGTTTCACCACCCAAAATTGTAAAACTATTATGAACTGTATATATGTATAGTATGTACATGTATGTATAGTATATGTATATAATAGAAGTTTATGAACTTTTATGCAGGCCGTCCAGTGGTCGAAAACTCGACCAAAAATATGTAATGTACAGATTTCTAGATTTTCATCCCACGCTGTAAATAAAACATGTGATTGGGGGTTATCCAAATTGTTTTGATTTTCTGTTTAGATTTCATTGTTTTTTCGTCACCATCATGGCAACTCATAAGGCCTATGTTATTTTTTTAAAATTTGAATTTCTTTTTTTGTTAAAGGGATTCTGCACGTCTACAGAGAAATATATTTTAACAGTATGCGTAGATTTTTCCTGAGATGCACAGTACCTCAGAATAAATGTTTTCGAGAAACTTGCTTGCCTAGGATAGTCTAATTCATACCTGTTGTTATTATTTCGGCTTTACATCACTCATCGAAATGCTTAATGTTCATAGCTTTTTTTGTAAACGACTGTCCATCTATTAACTGTAACTATTTCACAGTAGAACTACTTTGGATAATACACTGATAAGTCCACTGTTCCGGGTTACAATAACGTTATCTTTGCTTGATAGTTTTGATTAGTTACGCCGTTTGATATAATTGATAAAGATTTGTTTATACATTGTTTTTATAAATTATAAGTTCTACTAGACAATTAACAAAATGTCCTTTTAACCCAGTATGACCTAATGAACTCATTTTTTTGACATTGTTGTAATATTTGAGTCAAATAGTAGTTATTTTCTCTTGTAGAGTGAGCATCTAAAGTAGTTAAGATATTCATATTGTGTAAGTATGTTAACATCTCTAGGATGGTTGATATTTCACTACTTTTTTCTTCCCAAATTATCAAAATCCATGTGTACTTTGGGTATGATATAAAACATAATTTTCTCCTGTACTAATTATACATTATATGTACCAACATATTCATCCAAAATATTAATTTTTTGAATGGTAGTTAAAACCGTATTAAAGATAATCACAACTCAAAAAGTTCTAAAACAATGTGGGGTATTTCTTTTTGTTCAATTACTCAGAAAATTCAGATTTATCTTCAGTTCAGTTATTAAAACCCGCTCGAGGTTAACTAGTAGAGGTCAAACTAATTCAATCGTAGCCTAAAGCAGGATCGAACCCGCCATATTGGATCTCTTTGAAGTCGATAACGCTGTTTACTAAGTAACTCGATAGTTTAACTTTAACTGATTTAGTATTTGGGGCCTAACTTCGTGGATTTAACTCTTACTGAGAAGGTAAAAATTTAACTTTCTGCATATATAACGCTTTTAATTTCCCCATGACCAAATTGGCATAAAGCATATGTTTCTTAAGGTACATTTAATTAAAATTATTCTCCAATATTTTTCCTTTTTTTACTATCAGAAAACTTAACTTATATAAAATATAATAAAGCTCAATAGTTTCAAGTTTTGAATAGTATTCCAGAGGAAAACACAAAGTTTTATTGGATTGGATTTGGTAAACACGCAGATTCAGCGTTTTCAGAAAGATTTATTTATTTTGTTTGCCAAGTGTTAAATCTCGCATTGTTCTTATGGTATCTCCAGTCTAAGTCCTACAACGGCCACATTTCATTCTGATACCATCTGTTTCTATTGCCTCTGTTTGTTTTAAAACTTAAAGCTTCTAACAGGTGGATTTTTATTCCGTTGTTGGATTTTGATCCGCCATGGATATATATATATTGTTTGTAGGAACACAATAGAAACCTTTTTGTGGCAAAAACTTGAATTCACGATTTTCTAAGTAAGTAAAGGGGTTTCTCTCCCTTTAAGTAGGTAGTATGAGAGAGAAAGTATTGTTTTCGTCAACATTTTTAGTTAGATTTTTAGGGGAAATGATTTTTGTGTCCCCATGAGCCCAAAAAAGTGGGTTTAAAAGTGATACCTATATGTGTAGATGTGTAGAGAACTGATGTACTATTTTGATGAAATTTGGTATGAGCGTACTCTTTCCACGAGTTTTTGCTATGTTTTGAAATTTTGAGTTTTAAAGGTGATTCTTCTAAAAAATCCCATAAAATTACGGAAAAATTGGATTTTAACCAATCACGGGTAGAACTTTTTAGTTTAGTATCTATATATTAATAGGCAGAACGTTTCTTGAAAACCATTTTCTCAGCTCGTGTGCATCGTAGGGAAAATCTACGCATACCGTTAGAAAGATATTTGCCTGTAGAAGTGCAGATAATACCGTTATAAATTAAAATAGGCTAATAAATAAGCACAACAATGGGCCTTTGGGGCTACCATGCTGACGAAATAACAACAAAACATAAACGGACAATGAAAACAAATTAAATAAATTCCAATCTCATGTTTTATTTACAGTGGGGGGGGGGATAGAGAAGTACAGCATGTACATTATAACATTACTTATTTTGGCAGAGTTTTCGACCACTTGATTACCTCTAGTTTAGTATTTAATGGTTATTTTAACTCTCTTTAACTTTTAACTCCTTAAAACAAAATGGTAAAAACTCAATGCTGGAAGCTTACGGTTCATAAGCTATTGCATTTTTTGTGGTTTTACCTACAAAGCTTCATAGTACTCCCACCGCTTACCCATTCAATTGTTCTTGACAAGTTTATGGGTTTTATGGGGTACGTTTCAGTTTGCTGATACCATTAATTCTAAAGAAATATTGCTTTTTGCACCATATAACCCTAAAACAATTTTGAAAGTAGGCCTACTCCTAAACGAGCCTATAATTGCTCAAACAACGTCTCCATTCACTTAATAGGGTTGGTGCTTGAATGACAGAGTAATCGACGGTCAAAGGCTCAGTATAAGTGGGTCAGACCCTAGGGATCATTTGAGCGTTTCTTTGCCTTTTGAGCCCCCCCCCCCCAAAGAGGGTCCAACAACAACGATCTCCATCTGTCGTAAGTGGCGGCCCTTTTACAGCAATTGTTTGACATATGTGCTGAGATATTACTAAATACGAACACATAACAACCCTTTGGGTAAACTAAAATGATTTTACTGATGGATCAAACAATATGAACAGCAATATAGTTATGTAATACATCAAAAATATTAAATGTTCTCGAATTGAGTGGTTATAATCGTTAACTCTGCGGACAGTAGTATTGTTTATTTTTTACATTCAGTTTTTCCACTTTTATTAAATTCTTGTAATACAATTTCTCATATTACAACTACTATGTTTTAGAGCAGTCGGTTTGTGTGCTAATCTTGTCATGTTCAAATTTTCTTCTCAACCAATAGACTAGAACAGATCACGAACGTCGTGATTTTTTTAATTCAATCGTAAAGTGTCGTCAAAAATAGTTTCGACTAATAAGTATTGGTTAATTCATTACGACACCCAATATGGACAAGCAATGTACGTTTTTAATGTGTTTAGGGGAGGTTATACCATGTGTAATGTAGAAATATTCAATCATTTGTTATAAAAATAATAGCTAAAACATCGAATCAACTTGATTATCTTTGATTGCATTCAGATCAATATTTAGTAACCACTGAATATACACCGCTGGCCAACGAATAAATATTTGAGAATCCATCTGCAAACTTGTTTTGGTCCGTGCTTTATATTTCCAACTAATAAAATACATCCCCTATCAATTGAGGTGATATGGTAAGATAGAATTTTTACATGTGCTTAAAACCTTCTTAAATCATACCTAACACACAATAGTGAAAACTTATATTTTTATGATAAAAGAGATACATCTTAACATCTTATCAAGGTTTTAACCCCATTTTGCTCCCTTCTTACTCTCCCTGAAGAGTAAGAGATTTGTTGTCATATCGATTTTGAGAGTTGTCAAAGCGAGAAAGTGAGTCGTACAAGAGATGTCTGTAAGTGACATCTGACTTTGACACCTTCACCTTCCAGAATGGTTGACATCTTACTACAAACCTTGATTGAAATTTAACTCAAATCCGGGGTTCAATATTTAGGTTGAAAAGAATCACGTGGAATTTGAACTAGCTTTAAAATAAACATTGACGATACGGTTTCTAAAACTAATACAATTTGGTTAAAATAATTACCTTCGTACAAAGTTTTGTAAGTTTTAAATATTTCGTTTTAGGAATGAAACTAAGGATTTAGAACTCATTTTTCTGATTCTTTTCTTACACAAAATTACATTTTAACGATTTGTTTGATCGTATAAATAGATATGGTAATTTCCCAAAAATTTTAGCTCAATAAACCACTTATACAGTATTTACTTTAGATAAGCAAGTGAATTTGAGATTCAGTTTACAAAAGTCATGTGGTAGCCTAGGTGACTGCTGCGTTTTCAGATAAGTTTTAAGCTGTCAATATAAACTATTTATATTAAATATATAAATATACTTCATGTATTTATACAACTATTAATTTCATCACGCTTTTTTGCCAGGAGGGAGTATTTTAATATTCGAGGACACCTTTCTAAAACTTTCTGAGCCTAAAATAAAATTTCACGACATCAAAATATCGGTATACAAGTTTATTATAGCCTATTAGAATAAAACTGAATGCTCTAAACCTTTCTATATGCTACGAGAATATACTACAGGTATCACTTATTCATCCATAAATAATAAATAACCACACGAAAACCTTTTGAACAACATATTCAGGAAGGAATGAAACATTTGATTTGCTTGAAAACTTTGAAGACCCACTTAAACTTAAACCAAGAGTGTTTAAATTGAAACCACAGACTAGATCCACCATATTGGATTTTACTTTGACGCTGTGTATACGCTCCCCTAACTGCTCAGTAATTGATTTACTCTTTGTGGCCACACTCCGTTAGTTTCCACTGATGTGGTGATTTCACTTTAAATTTGTTTGAGCGATCGAGCTCAAAGTTTCTTGCATGTTGCGACTTTGGATAGCAAAATTATCTGTGCTTCAGAGGTTTGAAACTTACTACACTTCTTGATATGTTTTGGAGTAACGAGTTAGTTTGATTGTTATACGACTGCGATTATTTACTCCGTTAACGATTTCTAGTCCATAAGGGAATGGTTTTTACAAATTGTGACCCTATTTTTAAATAACTAAAACCAGTGTGAACTGGGACGGGTGGCGACGTTCTGTAATCCAGCTACTAGGTTACGAATTGTGGATATTTATAGGCATGCACTGTGGATGCGATACTCCCTGGTGTGGATTATCGTCCGCACGAGTGAGTACTACGACTATCCACAGTACTATCCTGAAAATTAGACCAATCCGTAAGGCAAAAATTTGGTTCAGCTATGGTTCCACAGGATGCGGAATCTCCGCCATGCGGTCTAGCGAAAAATCTAGAGGGGTGGTTCTACAGACTGCAAAAATAACGTTGCGGAGATTCAGTTCTGTCCAAACTAGCGACGAGTATGGATAGAAAGAGGAAAGCCCTTTTGGCTTTGATGCTATATGATGACATTGATGATGATGATGTCGATCTTTTATCTTTGTTAGCGTCAAGTCACA